CAACATATCCCTCCAAACTGCTAATATCCCAAAACCCCTCCTTTAGAGTGCGGGCATTGTACTTCCCATTTCCAGGACTCAAGTCCGGCTATATAAAAATAACCGGTTTCCCTGAATCCCTTCACTAAATATTACCCTGCTAACACTCCAACAGATCGTCAGGTCCCAAATACCATTCGTCTCCATTCACTCCTATCAAACACACTCATGCACGCCTGCTGGAAGTCCAAGCCCCTCGCCCACAAAACCTCCCTTACCCCTTCCTTCCAACCTTTTCGAGGACGACCCCTACCCCACTCTTCTTATTCTTTTTAGTAATCTTTACGGGAAAAGGGGTTACTAGCCCATTGTTCCTGGCATTTTAGTTGACTTTTACAACACGCATGGCTTATGGAGGAAAGATTCTTATTCCACTTCCCCATGGATATAAAAGGAAAAGTAATAAGACCAAGAACTATTAAGATAAAATCAAAGAAAACTCAGATGAGTGTGTATAAATAAACGTGTACATGTATGTGTAGTGTGACCTAAGTGTAAGTAGAAGTAGCAAGACATACCTGTAATCTTGCATATTTATGAGACAGACAAAAGACACCAGCAATCCTACCATCATGTAAAACAACTACAGGCTTTCGTTTTACACTCACTTGGCAGGACGGTAGTACCTCCCTGGGTGGTTGCTGTCTACAGACCTACTACCTTTTTAGAGATATATACGTATCATAAATCCTCATTTTAAGTGACACTACGTCGAGTCATTTTTGTCTAAAAACAATTGAAAGAGTGCATTCTGTTCTGCAGAGTGCTTGAAAAAAAAAGATCTTAATAGTATGCTGCTCCATAAGCATGCAAGCACCAAGTTATTTGCCAAATCATAGGGGTTTGCACAGTGGATTTTATCGCTCCGATTCAAGTTGGGCCTAAAAGTCAAGTGTTTGAAGAGAGACTGCCATCCATGCTGCCTACAGTTGCTACTTATATTTAATCTATGGATTTTTAACCATGGCACCTAGGAGGAATACTAGTGTTGCTGGAAGTGCTAAGAAGAATAATAATCACAAAGGTAATGAAAGTGTTAATTTTATATACATAACATATGATGCAAACTGCATGCACTTTTGGTCTGAGAATCCACCATCTATATTCTTAATTAAGAGACAGTGAGGTGAAAATAAAGAGCTTGTGTAATGAGTAGTGCAGATTGTGAAAGGCAAAAGAAAAAAAGTCAGAGGTCAGGGTAAAACAGGCTAGAGAAATATTACAGAATACTTGAGTGCTCCAATGCAAACATCAACTACTGATGACTGAACGTCCACATCATCACAAGGACAACTGTCATCCACCTCAGCCCAGTAGGGCCACATCAACCCTCTCCACACACTTCTATGTCAACAGTGAACAAGCTACAATGTAAGGTAAGTAAATCTATATTAATTTGTTGCTTGTAGAATATATAAAAAAAAAAAAATTGTCAAATTTGGAGGTCAGAGAATGTAGCCCTATTTCTCCCATATGTTCCTTACTTAATTATCATTTATGAGGTGCAAGTTTTTAAGAATATGTCCACCATATGAAAGAGTTTGCTGTACATCTTTCACACTGCAATATAGTTTTGCAATCATCACCATTGTGATCTTGCCTCAGATTAAGCTTTCAAAATTGGAAGGAAACACAGTATTACATGAATAAGGACTATTATGAAACACAAAAGTAAAGATACGTACAGTGGAACCTCGGTTTTCATATGCCTTGGTTTTCATAGGATTCGGTTTTCAACTACTTTTTTCGTCTAAATTTTGTCCTAGTTTTTGTACATCTGCTTGCTTTTCGTAGAGCTGACAATGGTCTGTACCAAATGTGTCTGCCTGCTCGCCCCCACACAAAGCATCCCACACATTCTGACTCAGTCTGGCATTGTGTCTCGTTGAGTGAACATTACCCCGCAAGTTCAGATAACATTTCGTAATAATCCATTGTTTTTTGTGCTTGTTTATTGAGTGCGATTGCTAAATAAGCTACCATGGGGCCAAAGAAGTTCCGAGTGCCAGCCCTTTGATAAAGAAGGCGAAAAACACGATAGAATTCAAGAAAGAACTCATAGCAAAGTACAAAAGTGGCAAAGTGGAAAGTAGCAAAGTACAAAAGTGACTGCAGCTGAGGAAATTGCTTCAGAGGAGAGGAAGAGAGAGGGGAGAATGTGCCTTCTTCAGTGATTAAGGACATGTGTGCAAAGGGGAATGAGTTGTAAAGTTTTGTGGAGAAATATCACCCTAACAAAGCTGTTGCAAGCCGTGTCTGTAACATGTTCAGTGAAATGCCTTGTCCCATTTTAGGCAAATCTTAGACGCCAGAAACAGACCTCTCTGGACAGATTTTTTGTGCGATGGGTCCAGTGACTCACAAGCTGGCCTAGTCCCAGTAAAAGACAAAGAAGGGAAGTAACCCCAGATAGGGCCTTGATACCTGAATTCCTTATGGAGGGGGATTCCCCTTCCAAACAGTAACCTCCCCTCCTCCCTCTCCCCTCCTCGCCGTCTTCCATACGCCAGCAAGTCTTCAATAAAGGTAAAAGTGATGTTAAATGTTCATTTATTCATTTCATTAGTCATTTATATTTATTTCTCATTGTTTTCTGTATGTAAAACTATAGTTATTCTCTCTAAAATGTAATTTTTGTTAATATTTTTGGGTGTGTGTAACGGATTAATTGGATTTACATTATTTCTTATGGGAAATATTGCTTCAATTTTCATACAATTTGGTTTTCATGATACTTTCTGGAGCGAATTAATCACGAAAATTGAGGTTCCACTGTATACATTAAATGTAAATATAAGTTTTAATTAGGGTTTACCTGCCATCATACATCTTCATGAGACAGGAAAAAAAGATCACTAATCCTGTCAGGGGTAGAAAACATTTAACGTGTTCCCATGTCAAGCTTGTATGACAGGATGGTAGTACCTCACAGATTATGGCTGTCTGCCAGTTGGTACAGCATTGCAATGATACTTTTCCATTGTATTCACATACCTGGTTGAGAACTTAACTGAACACATCAGTTTCAGCAAATCAGATTTCTCTAGGTGAGCATCCATGTGTGATTTTTTAATTTTATTGAAAGGTGAAATGAAAAATAAAAGTAATTATAAAAAATCAAGAGATCTAACTCAGGATGAAGTGTAATACATCACTTGCTTTTTCTTTATTACTGCTTCTCATCTGTCAGTTTTATTTAGGATTACTGTATTATCCATTGTTTTTATTTTTTAAAGAATGATTCATAAAACCATTTGACTGAGTCTTGAATTGTCCATCATTTTACTCTTTTGCTAAGAAGCAGTTGCAGTGGCACCAGGGGGAGGCAAGGGGGCTGAAGCCCCCACTAATCTCCATCAACTCCCAAAGTCCCATAAATAAAAATAATAACAGTGTAATAATGAAATTTCAACACATGTCCCCTGCTTCCCTTCCAACCTGACTGCTGCCCCTAAGCCCTTGCCACATAGAAATTCTGGAGCTGCCCCTGCTTACGAGTTTTCACTTAGTTATTGAAATTATTCATTGTTGATTTCAAGATTGTTATGTACCCAAATATAGAAGCACCCTAAAGCTTTTTTTTTTTTTTTTTTTTTTTTACATTGTATTGAGTGCAGTTATTGTAAACTGCTTGCTTATATTACACATGTAGCAATTTTTATTGTTGCTAAAGAATATTTATAATTTGCATAGTCATGGAGGATGCATTAATACCGTATGTCATCCTTTTTATTTACTGTAATTTATTTTGTTCCATTAATAATGTCACAAAAGTTGTATTGTTAGAAAACTTTGACAGCTCTGACTTTCAGTAAGCACACTGACCCTTTTGGGTTTAGTGCTTATTTTAATTATATTATTATTATTAGTAGTAGTAGTAGTAGTAGTATTTTAGTAAGCACACACATATTTTTATAATGTTCTTGTTTCTTTATGGGAGGCTGGCTGTTAATAACAACAGGTAGTATCAGATGAGTTTTAATATTTAAGTATTTTTGACATATTTTATTGCTTCAGTTTTGAAATCTGTATTTCTGAATTTACATTTTTGACTTAAACTGTATTTGAGATTTTGTACATATGGTGACTGTTACCCCACATTAAACCATTAAGATTTAGCTGCAAATTTTGCAAGCCATGTAGTTGAGACGTGGCAAATGGTGAAGATGTTTACACCAAGACATAGGCCCGACTTGGCTCCTATCCTCCAGAGTTGACATTGCACAACAGTGTGATGGTTGATGTATCACTGTTTGTATATAATTCTTCTACCACTACATATTAAAAACTTGTCCGTCATAAAATTTTAAAATCTGGTTTCATGTACCTACAGTGTGTAGAGCAGGTATAGTTGTAATGAATTTAATGTGGATTGTTTGAATTGTAACTGTTGGGGAAAGAGTATAGGCATTATCCTTTGATATTATAATTGCAATTTTGTTTGTTATGCACTTACACCATTTTAGAATAAGCCATTTTTGCATTGGTATGTGCAGTATAGTATTTCCATTGTGGTTATAGATTCATATATATTAATGATGTGTAAGAAGCTTACACTTAGTCTTTTCAACTTGCATAATTAGGTATCTCAGAAAAATAACAATTCCATTGGATGTTGACAGTGTTAAATCTATGGGAACTGCGTGATAACTTATGCTGGGACACCCAAGTCCAGTGCGGGTGCTGCCATCTATTAAAACTGAACATACTGTAGTTTTTATAATTTTTTATTTTAAATATTTTTCCTTGTTGATATTATCGGTGTTAATTGTTTAGCATACTATGTATGTACCCAAAATGTATATATTAGTACAGCAAATATCTTGGAAATAAATTATATATATATATATATATATATATATAATATATATATATATATATATATATATATATATATAATATATATAATATATATATATATATATTTTATATATATTACAGTATATATAACTACACAGGACTGTTAGGATAAAGTGCATTTTGTACAGTTGAGTACTCAGTATTTGTATAATTATGTATATTGTCTAAACATTTAAAATATAGTATTATACCCTCATTATCAGTGAATAATAAAAAGAATGAAATCATTGCTCTTTACTGTCTTCCGCCATACAGTATGTACTTAGTGTTACAGCATATGAGGCATTAATCAGCAAGGTGGTGATATTGTGCCCCCAGGACCAATCAGTTTTGTCTGATTTTGTATGACATACGTGTTCATTATAAGTCAGTCATCTGCGATGGTCCTACACTTAATACACACTGTCTCTTGTAGCATCATCTGCAACCTGCCCTTCCTTCAAGGGGTTGTCTTGATGCTAATGAAGGTCTTTTGATCAGAGACAGGGGCTACCCTTTTACGTGGATTAAATATGATTATTTCAGATTCCTTAGTGTATTTGGCCTGTGTAGCATTTGATCACCCAGGCTGTAGGTTCACTGCTTTTCATGAATATAACAAGAAGAGGCAATGTCTGAACTACTAGAGTAGTGTTTCCTTTTGAATACTATACGTATAAAAAAATTAGGGGAGGAACCATTCTTGTTTGTATCATCACTATTGTTCAGGAGATAAAACTCAACGTAAAAATGATACTGAGATATATTTTTTAGAAACTGTCCCTTCAAGACAGTTTTTTTGAGGCTTGTGAAGGATTCATGTTCCAAAGAATTGAAACTTTACCTCCCCTTGGATCATAACTGATTGCTTTCTATCCCTCAGGCTCTGTATGACCTATGGGTTTAGTTCCTCCCTGTGACTATAATTATTCAGGAGCTTTGTTTAATATATGTATTACAGTACTATGCACAAATAACTTGCAATTAAGAAACTAAAACTTATGACAGTGTTTCAGTCCGACTTGGACCATTAATAAGTGGGGCTTGTTAATAGTCCAAGTTGAACCGAAATGTTAAAAGTATTTCTTAAATGTAGGTTAGTTGTATAATGTTCCTTTTTTATTCTTTATTACAGTATTATAAATCCATTTATTGTATTGTATTAAGCATAAATATTATTACTAACTGTGCAGTGTAGTAGTTAGAGTTGTTAAGTTCTAAATCTGTTTAAGTCATTCAGTACTTGGGAAATGGGAGGCATTCAGGTTTGATCCATGGAAGGGAAGGATGAGTCCAGTTCTTTGAATTAAAAGCCTTTCACTGGCATCAAGGCACATCCCTTGAAGGTGCCTTTATTATGATGTTCAATTTAGAGACTTACAGCAGTAAACTTAACAACTAAATACCTATTTACTGATAGGGCCTTCTTTAGCCTTGTCAGTACAATCATTTGCAGACAGGTCTGAACCACAGTCATGCATCCTCCAGTGGGCAGTGAAGGTGGAGAGATGGGTGAAAATGGCATGACAGATCCTGCAGGTATAGTGTGTTTGAGGATTGTGGGTATGGAGGTGGACTCTGAGGGAGGTAACCGTTTGGAAGCTGCTTTCACACTGAGGACATGGATAGGGTTTCTCTCCTGTGTGAATCCTCTCATGGCACCTGCAAATAAAGGTGGAGCATTAAGTGACAGTGGAGTAACAGAGCCTGCACGTGTGTGTGTGTGTGTGTGTGTGGATATCGAGGAGAGGTCTGAGGGTGGTGGTAACAAAAGTTGCTCTTACACTGTAGATGTAGGTAGGGTTTCTTTCCTGTGTGAATCCTCTCATGGCACCTGCATATGAAGTTGCAGACATAAGAAAAAGTACCATGACAGTACATGCACATGGTGAAATGGAATCTGCTCTCACACTACACCCTTAAAGAGAAGGGATGCCTTGCACCACAGCTGATGGACTGATTACATCAAACTGCCTCTTCACTTTGCCTGCTTCATCTTCCACCAGTGCTGATGTCTTTTAAGAGTGTGATTCATCTCTGTATTTGACTGATGAAGTGTGCAGTGCAGGTAAAATGTTTCATCAATAAAGATTCTTAGTGTTGCACATGTGTCTTACTTATCAGGTGATGCCTTGATGCTGCTGAAGGGCTCTTGATCAAAAGAATTGCAGCTGCCCTCCATTTCTGCAAATCAAACCTGTTTATCTTTCATTCCCTAGGTGCTGGATGATCCCTAATAATTTAATAATATCTTACACACACCAACCTCTTGCTTGAAAAGTATGCTACTCAAGTATAATTAAAAAAAGTATTACTAATTATGAGAGTAATAATAGTGTTGAAAGTAATGATTTAAATGAAAGAAATTAATTAGATTCATGATATTTCTTGTAATGATTTTTTCCTTCCAGGTGTGTGTCTTGCAACTAATGAAAAGCTCATGATCTAAGGAACTGACGTTACTCTCCTATACCCTAGACACAACCTGATAACTTCCCATTACCCAGGTGCTGTATGACAACTACAGAGTCATACCTCCACATTTCCCAGAATTATTTTTATTCTTGTCTCCAAGGCTGAGGGTCCCTAAAACAAGCACAGACACACACACTTTTTTTTTTTAACATGACCCTTTTCCCACCGAGGCAGGGTGACCCAAAAAGAAAGAATACTTTCATCATCATTCAACACTTTCACCATCACTCATACATAATCAGTCTTTGCAGAGGCACTCAGATACGAGAGTTTAGAAGTCTCTCCAAACTGCCAATATCCCAAACCCCTCCTTTAAAGTGCAGGCATTGTACTTCCCATTTCCAGGACTAATCCTGCTAACTGGTTTCCCTGAATCCCTTCACAAAATATTTATATTATCAGATAATAATATAGGAAAGCATTCTGATACATATTCTCACTAATAAAACCAATCAGACATACTTTAACCTGTCTTTTCTGTTAAATCTGGAGCCGCAAGTGTGACAACAGAAAGGCTTCTCTCCAGTATGAGTCCTCTGGTGTATCTGGAGGTGGACAAGCTGGTTGAACCTGGAGGGACAGTGACAGCAAGGGTAGGGTCTGGTTTGTGCATGGAGACGATGGTAGCGTGTCTGAGAGGCCACCCCTTGGGACCTCACTTTACGTAACTCACAGCTGCAGGAGTACAACACAATGTTCAAAACATATCTGACGAACTCTGTTAAATTTCTGTAGATTAACTGAATTTTACCTCCTTATATACATCCAACTCTACAAAGCCTAATCATGTCTAATGAGACAATCATATGCAGACTATGGTTTAATCTTTTAGAATGAATCATGAAACAGAAATAACACAAATATTTTACATCAAACAGTAGGTGAGTGATGGTCTCGCTTCAAATGGGTCTCTTACTAGAGTGAAAATGTTGGCCTTATTTCTTACTATTCAATGAACTTTATAATGTAGATGTGTTTTACTCTGCAATTTGAAAAGTATTCTCAACAGCCTACAACCCCAACCCCCCTCTCCCTTGTACGTCAGTCCAAGCAAAAGTGTTACCTTGGTACCTTGGGATACAAACTTAAAATTCGTTCCAGAAGGCTGTTCAAGTGCCAATACCAAACGAATTTTTTCCCAAAAGGAATAATGTAAATTAGATTAATCCATTTCAGACCCCAAAAAATACACTAACATAATTGTTCAAGTTTTGAGCTGTTCGTATCCTGAGGTACCACTGTATTTTATATTTATTTTTTAATAACTACTATAGAATCAACATTAAAAACAGTTTGAGATGACTTACGTGAAAGTAGGCAGGCCTTGTGAAGTGTTGCGTGATTTATGTTGTGTTGAGTTGACTTCCTGTCGGACTCTCTTCATTTCTGCATCAATACCCACCACCACAACCTTATACTGTCTCCCTCTATTAAATTTCTCGCTTTCCTCTGCCGTCTCTCCGAGGCTATTTCTGGCTTCATCAATGGTGTGGGAGCTGCAACATCTATTTTTGTGGCTCATTTTCTGTGAAGTTTTGTACCCAGTGTGTTCCTGTTTCACATGATACTGATGCAAGGTGGGCAAGATGTTACACCCAGTGTGTTGCTGTTGTACATTATATTGACTCGAGGCCAGGTTGTTGGTATGTCGTCCATTTGTTCTCTGGATTTCCTGCGTATCATCGTGAAAGTCTGTGTTTGCTTCTGCACCAACAGTCATGTCACAACTCCAGTCTCTGAACACACTCGAGTTTCTACCGCCCTTCCAAGGATAGTCCTCAAAATCCCAGCCTAGTTCACTCTCACCATTATATCCTCGTATCCAGCCATCAGTTGTGTGTCTGAGACTGTCATTTTTTGAGGAGCCTGATTTGATAAGTGTAGCAGTATTGAAGAAGTGATTGTTCATGAAAGGTTTAATTCTTTGATGGATCTCGTTGTGTCCCAACCTGAGGTGTTTTGAAGATCTTCCCGAGTGACTTGCAGCATCAGACTGGGTGTCCTGTGGAGCACAATGTCTGGTACTCTGGTGAAAAGCAGTTTCAAGAGGAAAATTTTTGGAATATGAATAACAAGGATCTCCTGAGACAGCAACTTTAGGAACCTCTAGATTCACGTGAGGAAATTTACGCTTGTTGGTGTTTTTAGACTCGCTCGTGCAGCTTTCATCAAGGTCATCCATTATTTTATCTTTCTTGACTGGAGAACATTGCCCCGTACCCACAATACATTCCTGATGGCGACCAGAGTAATGCTGGTGTTTGTAAAGACCATGATGATCATACAGCACATGATCTGTGTTGTCATATTGGAATTCCCTCTCGTCTGATATAAGCTGTTGACACTTGTTTTGAAAATTATGCTCATTGTGTGGAAGCTGTTGATTTTGGCAATGAAAAGCAAATATTTGACCAGTGTTTTGAAATTTCCTGAGTTCAGGTAAAAACTGTTTCTGACACTGAAGATAATTTTCGCCAGACACACCCCTCCAGCCCCCTAGCTTGCTATATTCACTTTCCTTTGCATCATGAAAACTTTGATTATTACCAAGAAACTGATATGCTGGTAATGTCTGTCGATGTCCATGGTTGGCTGTTCTATATATAACATATCTTCGCCTCTTTACCTTTTCTGCTATTGTCTTTCCCAGTATAGTTTCTCCTACCGTGGCTTTCTCAAGTTTTGCTTCTACTTTATCTCCACCTACAGCACTGTTCTGTCCTACCATGTGTCCATCGTCATGTAGGAGCGTCCCACAAGGTCGCCTCTGGTTCCTCGTTGAGGTGTCCCTTCTCTCTCTCGTTCTTATTTCAGAGTTGGGTTCATCTGCTGTCCCATTGGGCAATGTAAACTCCTCTGCCTTGCACTTTAAACCTTGTGTAGTTGGTATGGATGGGTGGTTTTCACTGTCAGGGTTCATATTTAAATCTTGCTCTGTCACACAGGCTGCATTTTCTATTTTAGTTTTGCATAATTGCCTTTTTTCTAGCGTGGGACCATGTCCACCTTCCCCAGCGCCTCTCTCCATTGCCTCTACCAACTCCAGAAACCCAAACATCTGAATTTTGTTTGTGAATTGTCACACACAACTAATGTAAATTAATATATTTTGTATTTTATTTCATTTGCTGATTATTGGTTTTCAGTCATACTGTTGAATATCTTCCGATACTGAGAGTGCGATAAGGAACCAAATACTTAAATAGTTTAATAAATTTTATAGTACTATGTTTATGTGCATTATTTTTAATTTATCCTTATCTTATATATTTATCATTTCTCACCGTGCTATTTTTTTTAAACAGTACGTAAATCACTAAGAGTAGCAAACACCCGTCCAAAGTAGCAACACTTCCCCAAACACCCGTCCAAAGTAGCAACACTTCCCCAAACACCCGTCCAAAGTAGCAACACTTCCCCAAACACCCGTCCAAAGTAGCAACGCTTCCCCAAACACCCGTCCAAAGTAGCAACACTTTCTCAAACACCCGTCCAAAGTAGCAACACTTTCCCTTATACTCGTCCGGTACTTCACAGTACTGAATTAACAAGTCGAGAGACATGCACAGAGATGTAGTTGGGTGGCGAGTGTTGTGCAGTGGGCTGTTGCAGCGGTGACTGCTGGTTGAGGTGGAGAGAACACCTACAAGTGTCCTCTACACAACAACCGAGGAAAGAAGCCTTAACAATGTTTCACTTAGCAGCTGCTTGGTGTATCTAACAACAGTACTGATAACAGTAGCAACAGTAGTGATAACAGTAGCAACACGGACGTGCTTCAATAACAACGGTGGCAATGCTGGTGACAGCAGTAGCATCACTAGTAACAACAGTTGCAATTGTAGTAACAGCAGCAGTAATACTAATAACAGCAGTAGCAATACAATTGACTGCATTAAGACTATTAATAACAGCAGTAGCAGCAAAATAAGCTGCGGAAACAATAATATCAACAGTAGCAAATAAAATTATAAGCTTCGATATATATATATATATATATATATTTTTTTTTTATTATCACACTGGCCGAATCCCACCAAGGCAGGGTGGCCCGAAAAAGAAAAACTTTCACCATCATTCACTCCATCACTGTCTTGCCAGAAGGGTGCTTTACACTACAGTTTTTAAACTGCAACATTAACACCCCTCCTTCAGAGTGCAGGCACTGTACTTCCCATCTCCAGGACTCAAGTCCGGCCTGCCGGTTTCCCTGAATCCCTTCATAAATGTTACTTTGCTCACACTCCAACAGCACGTCAAGTATTAAAAACCATTTGTCTCCATTCACTCCTATCAAACACGCTCACGCATGCCTGCTGGAAGGCAGGCATGCCTTCCAGCATATATATATATATATTTTTTTTTTTTTTTTTCAACAAGTCGGCCGTCTCCCACCGAGGCAGGGTGACCCAAAAAAGAAAGAAAATCCCCAAAAAGAAAATACTTTCATCATCATTCAACACTTTCACCACACTCACACATTATCACTGCTTTTGCAGAGGTGCTCAGAATACAACAGTTCAGAAGCATATATGTATAAAGATACACAACATATCCCTCCAAACTGCCAATATCCCAAACCCCTCCTTTAAAGTGCAGGCATTGTACTAACCATTTCCAGGACTCAAGTCCGACTATATGAAAATAACCGGTTTCCCTGAATCCCTTCACTAAATATTACCCTGCTCACACTCCAACAGATCGTCAGGTCCCAAGTATCATTCGCCTCCATTCACTCCTATCTAATACGCTCATGCACACTTGCTGGAAGTCCAAGCCCCTAGCCCACAAAACCTCCTTTACCCCCTCTTTCCAACCCTTTCGAGGATGACCCCTACCCCCCCTTCCTTCCCCTATAGATTTATATGCTTTCCATGTCATTCTACTTTGATCCATTCTCTCTAAATACCATACCACCTCAACAACCCCTCTTCTGCCCTCTGACTAATGCTTTTATTAACTCCACACCTTCTCCTAATTTCCACACTCCGAATTTTCTGCATAATATTTACACCACACATTGCCCTTAGACAGGACATCTCCACTGCCTCCAACCGTCTCCTCGCTGCTGCATTTACCACCCAAGCTTCACATCCATATAAGAGTGTTGGTACTACTATACTTTCATACATTCCCTTCTTTGCCTCCATAGGTAACGTTTTTTTGACTCCACATATACCTCAACGCACCACTCGCCTTTTTTCCCTCATCAATTCTATGATTAACCTCATCCTTCATAAATCCATCCGCCGACACGTCAACTCCCAAGTATCTGAAAATATTCACCTTCTTCCATACTCCTCCTCCCCAATTTGATATCCAATTTTTCTTCATCTAAATCATTTGATACCCTCATCACCTTACTCTTTTCTATGTTCACTTTCAACTTTCTACCTTTACACACATTCTCAAACTCATCCACTAACCTTTCCAATTTTTCTTTAGAATCTCCCATAAGCACAGTATCATCAGCAAAAAGTAACTGTGTCAGTTCCCATTTTGAATTTGATTCCCCATAATTTAATCCCACCCCTCTCCCGGACACCCTAGCATTTACTTCTTTTACAACCCCATCTATAAATATATTAAACAACCATGGTGACATTACACATCCCTGTCTAAGACCTACTTTTACCGGGAAGTATTCTCCCTCTCTTCTACACACCCTAACCTGAGCCTCACTATCCTCATAAAAACTCTTTACAGCATTTAGTAACTTACCACCTATTCCATATAGTACTGTGCAACATCTGCCACATTGCTCCTCTATCCACTCTATCATATGCCTTTTCTAAATCCATAAATGCAATAAAAACTTCCCTACCTTTATCTAAATACTGTTCACATATATGCTTCAATGTAAACACTTGATCTACACATCCCCTACCCACTCTGAAGCCTCCCTGCTCATCCGCAATCCTACATTCTGTCTTACCTCTAATTCTTTCAATTATAACCCTACCGTATACTTTTCCTGGTATACTCAGTAAACTTATTCCTCTATAATTTTTACAATCTCTTTTGTCCCCTTTCCCTTTATATAAAGGGACTATACATGCTCTCTGCCAATCCCTAGGTACCTTCCCCACTTTCATACATTTATTAAAACAAAAGTACCAACCACTCCAACACTATATCCCCCCCTGCTTTTAACAGAACTGTCATGATCCCATCAGTTCCAGCTGCTTTACCCCCTTTCATTCTACGTAATGCCTCACGTACCTCCACCACACTTACATTCTGCTCTTCTTCACTCCTAAAAGATGGTATACCTCCCTGGCCAGTGCATGAAATTACCGCCTCCCTTTCTTCCTTAACATTTAAAAGTTCCTCATATATATATATATATATTATATATATATATATATATATATATATATATATATATATATATATATATATATATATATATATATATATATATATATATATATATATATATATATATATATATATATATATATATATATATATTCGCCGGTATTCTCCCGGCCCGGGTCTTTTCCAAGTAGTGGTGACCCGGCCTTGGCTCCCTATCTGGGGAGTATCTTGAGACGTAAGTCTCCCATAGGAGGAGGCACAAGTACCCCCTCATCTTTGGGATCAACTGTCCCCAGGCCTAGCCACATTCCCCGCCCTCACGGGGCTCGTAGGTAGAAGCTAGGCCTCTCTGGTCTGCCATCTACCTCGCCTCAAAGGGGCTCGTGGGGATGGCAGTCTTATGAGCTGCAGGTGGTAACAAGCTCAGGCATACATAATATATATATATATATATATATATATATATATATATATATATATATATATATATATATATAATATATATATATATATATATATATATATATATATATATATATATATATATATATATATATATATATATATATAATATAATATATGAAGGATGGAAAGCAGATTGCCTGGGACTACACATGTGCCGCCACATTGGCAGACACCTATTTGCCATACTCCGTAGTGAAAGGGGGTGGAGCTGCCAGCCACAGGGAGACTCAGAAGATCCGCAAATATGAAGACCTTCCCCCTTGCTATAACTTCATTCCAATAGGGTCGGAGACCCTTGGAGCATGGGGCAAGTGTGCTCTAAAGTTCCTCAAAGAGCTAGGTGAAAAGCTCATCATAGAAACCAAGGACCACAGGGCGACCAGCTTCCTCTTTCAGAGACTCAGTGTTGCGATCCAGAGAGGAAATGCCTGCAGCATTCTGGGCATGCGGCCTACCGCTGGGGAGCTGGACGAAGTATTCGAGATGTTGCTCTGAGTTACCTATGTTGTTTTACTTTGTATCATATTTTTGTGAATGTTTTGTCTAGTGTATATATATATATATATATATATATATATATATATATATATATATATATATATATATATATATATATAATATATATATATAAATATATATATATAAAACATATGAACATAAAAGTCTCAGACCTCCGGACGATGGAAAGCAGGATGAAAGACATTGACACACACGAAGCCTTCTACCTACTCACCACCCCTCATGGAAGGTTCCTTGATGTTGGTGAGGGGCTCTTGATTTAGGGAATTGGATCTGTGCTCCAGTTCCCCGAATTAAGCCTGAATGCCTTCCACATCCCCCCTCCCCTGGGCGCTGTATAATCCTACGGGTTTAGCGCTTCCCCCTTGATTATAATAATAATAATAATACCTACTCACCAGGTGCCTGTCAATCCCAAAACTTACCTACTTTCTGAGATGCTCCCCAGCCTTCAGCAGTCCAAAACTCGAGGAATATGACTCTCCTTAAGACCATGCTAGAGAGTGTATTGAATCTTTCCCTTGAAGATGGACAGTGGTTGCAAGCCTCACTTCCGGTCAGGCTTGGGGGGGCTAGGAGTACACAGACCCAGATTGCTCTACCAGCTTTCCTATCCTCTTCCATAGCATCAAACGAGTTGATAAGACAAATTCTTCCTGATATCCTCAGTGACTCAGCAGGAATACAAGACCCTAGCTATGCCAGTGCCATCACTGAATGGAAGACTTGCTGCTCCAGCACCAAACCCTAGTGCAGCACTGGCTCACAGTCAAGCTGGGATGGCCCGATCGCTGAAAAGGTGCTTGCCAACATGCTCAGGGTCACAACATCAGAAAGGGAAACCTCCCGTCTCCAGGCTGTGAGCGCACCTCACTCCGGGGACTAAGTCCAAACAGTTCCCATATCGGCAATGGGAACGCGACTCGACCCTAAGACCCTCCTTATTGCAGTGGCTCTGCACCTCGCTGCCCCAATTCACACAGAATATACAAGTATTTGCGGCGAAGCGCAAGCAGACCAATACGGTCTACATGGTCTTAACTGTTCCAAAACCAAGGGCTGGCATGCAAGACACAATGAGGTCAACGACATCATTAAGAGAACCCTTGCTACAGCTGGATGCCCAGCTGAGAGGGAGCCCCGATCACTAGCAGCCAACAATACCCACAACCCAGCAAACTGCCCCAATGGGATCACCAACTATCCTTGGAAGAATGGCAAGCTCTTAGCATGGGACTATACCTGTGTGTCCACACTAGCTGACACCTATATCCATCACAGTATAGGGCGACAGGGAGGAGCTGCTGACCACAGGGAGGAGTACAAGATCAGCAAGTACAGGGACATAAGCCAACAGTATCAATTTGTCCCAGTGGGATCAGAGACCTTGGGATCCTGGGGAAAAAATGCCACACGTTTCCTTAACGAATTGGGTTCCAGGCTCGTCGACACCACCAGGAACCCAAGGGCAGCC